CACATCACTGTCACTGCTGATCAGGTTAAAGCACTGAATTATTTTACATTCTGCTCCTTAGACACCTAAAGGGAAGGAGCTTCACTTTCGGTGTAATGCAGCCATAAATCTGTCTCCACTGAGGAGGGTGGCTGGGAGGCACTGAGCTGGGAACGCCGCGGCTGGAGCGGGCAGGGGCCCAGTGCCCTCCAGCCTGGCAGCACATCACCAGCTCCAGCCTCAGAGGTTTGTCTCTGAGGACACCACCTTGACCACAGGAGAGCTCCACCTTGAGAAAACCCATCGCCACCAGCAGGGCTCTACCAAACACCTGGGGAAGGGAGGTGGGATCAGTCAGAGAGGGAGACAAGGAACAGGCACCACAGACCCAGACCCATCAACCCATCATCACCAATTTTAAGCTCCCCAGGACACAGCAGTTGGAGCAGAAGAGGGCTTTTTAGATGACAGCACTGCCAGGTGGTTTGAAGGACCTGCTAGCTGGGCCTTCAATTATGAAGCTGGGAAAACGTGGGTGGGTGGCACGATCCTTCACAGGACTTGATTAGTGCTGGAAGAAGCTTCACTGTGCAAAGAGGGCAGCCAAGAAGAGGGTGGATGAGGGAGGGCAGCTTAAAGGCAAAAAATGATATCATGCACAATTGCAAATCCATTAGAGGAGCAGTGGTGTGAAATAACCATCACCAGCAATGATATCTGCTAGATTTTTAGAATTTAGCAGGACAAAATAAAAAGGTCAGAATCCTTCGTTCCTAAAACTTTTAGTTCTAAAACTATTTTGAAGCAAGAGATGGATCATTTTAGAAGACAAGCTCACACTTTGTACACACACAAGGCCCTTCAAAGCTGATAATAATCCGTGTCAGTTAAGTATTTTCAGCCTGAAAATCCAGGTTCAGAGTCCCTGCCCCTCAGCAAAGCACTTCTTATTTCTGGCACGTGTGGACAACGTGTGGAAGGCTCTCCAGGAGAAGTGCAGGTGGAGCAAAACACTTGACATTAGTTGAGCTGGTATCAGGCTTGGTTTGTTTCTGAGCATTTAGCTGGCAGGTTTTCTAAAGCCTCTTTTCTTCCCCCCCTCTCCCCAGTGCCAGGTTTCTGGAAGGGGCTGGCAGGGCTGGCACTGCCCTGCTCAGGGGCCTGCGCTGCCTCTGGTCCCATCATCGGGCTGGGTCGGCTTGTGCCTCAGTGAGACAAGCCTGTTATTTTGCATGTGCTAAACAGTTCTTCCAGGTTTTGGGGGGGTGTTTTGTTTGTTTGGGGGGGTTTTTTGTATTGTGGTTTTTTTGGGGGGGTTGTTTTTGTTGTGTTTTTTTTTTTTTGGGGGGGGTTGTTTTGTTTTGTTTGTTCAGTTTTGTTCTGTTTGTTTGGGGTTTTTGTTTGGTTGTTTTTTAAAATTATTGTTATTGTTATTGTTGTTATTATATTTTTAAATGCTTTGGCATGACTACTCTCTGGAAACAGGAAGGAGAGAAGAACAAGAGTGTCCTGGTGCCAGGGATTTGCCTGTCACTCGCCATGGGAAAATCTGTCTTCCTTCAGCTCAACACACAGCTTCTGTAGGTCTGTCCCCCCAGGTGCCCTCATGCAGACATACAGGTTACCCTCGTGTTTTAGGACAATAACTGGAAACTAGACTGGAGGCAGTGGGGAATAAAGCTGTGAGAAAAGAGCAAGAGAGCAGGGAAGAAGTGGAACACATGAAGCTGGAATTCACCAGGACGATGCTGAGGATCCATAGGAACAAGCCCAGCCAGAGGGCTCAGCAACCACTGCCACTCAGAAACACAGATAAAACAGGAGGTTCCTATGTCTTAATCTTTTTCTTTTTTCCCTTCTTCTTTTTGTCTTTCCCACTGGCTGTGATCCCAGGCAGCTTTTCAAACCCAGCCATGCAACGCACACACCAGGCACACCAGTGTCAGAGGCTGGAGTTGCGTTGCAGGCAGACCTGAATTCTTTAAAATTCTGGCTTCATTCTTAAACTATCGATGCTGCACTTTGCTCTTAAATGTCAGCACAAAATAAGTAATACCTGCAATTTATTCCGATGACATTTCAACAATACAAGATTTTCAGATTACAAGCTGCAGCCCCGTGTTTCTCCCGGCGTTCTGCCGGATGGGCAGGTTTTCTGGATTTACATAATGGGTTTGTATAATGAATATTTATATAATGAAAGCATTTACATAATGACTGCGAGTTCAATGTGCGCAATAAAGATTCCAGGCCACTAATTTATGTACTAAGTTAAAAATCACCTCTAAATAAATTCCTACAGAAGGTTCATTTTCCCCTCTTGTTCACAAAAATCTGAATCCAACCTTATCCAAGGAAAAGCTGCATCGATGCACGGCACGATAGTGTTTTGGAATTAGTCTACATTGGATCATTTGTATTCAGAGATTTGTTTCTTATCTTTTAGTAGCAGCTTTGACAAACAATTTCAGAATATTCTAAATATGAGTCATTAATATAATTTAGTGTTTTAGCCTAGATGTGAGGCTTGCATGTAAGGCTCATTAGTGCCACTGGGAATTACAGGAGAAAGCTGGTAGGAATTATAAAGTGCAGATGAAGCTTATGTTTAGATAAAGGTAATTTGCTACAGATAGCATATAAATTATTACAGAAATCTGGTGTTTTCAGCTCTCTTGCATTTTGTTTGCTAATAAAGCCAAGCTTCTGCTTTGCCAGACTGAGATTTCATGGGACTGGAGGGCCACTTGTGCCTGTCTGCACAGCAGAACACCCACCCGAGCACCTCACAGGCAGGGTTCCTGACAGGGAAAAGCTCCTTCTGTTTGGTGAGCTGGTGCCCAGGACACGTGCTGCACATTCTGGGTTGGTTTTTTTCCCTATCCCATTTTACAAGATTTTTGAGCCAAGAGTTACTTGGACTTGTCACTTGTTCCCCCCCTGGGGACAGCGCTGCCCAAGTCCTCAGGAGCTGCTCTGGGGGTTCAGGGGTCCCCTCTCTCTCCCTGTGCTTGTGCTGCTGTAGCAAGGGTCCCCCAGCTCCATCATCCCCTCCGGAGCCCTTCTCCTCAGTGCCTAGGTTGGGGGTGGACTTGCTGGAAAACAGTTCTGAGAAAAAGGATCTGGGAGTCCTGGTAGACAGTAAATGCTCCATGAGCCAGCAATGTGCCCTTGTGGCCAAGAAGGCCAATGGAATCCTGGGGTGCATAGGGAACAGTGTGGCCAGGAGGTCGAGGGAGGTCATTCTCCCCTTCTACTCTGCCCTGGTGAAGCCATCTCTGGAGAACTGGGACCAGTTGTGGGCTCCCCAGTTCAGGAGAGACAGGAACTGCTGGAGAGAGTCCAGGGGAGGGCAACAAAGGTGACTGGGAGATTGGAGCATCTCCCTAAGGAGGAGAGTCTGAGAGAGCTGGGACTGCTCAGCCTGGAGAAGAGAAGGCTGAGGGGAGACCTCGTAAATGTCTACAAATATCTAAGGGTGGAGTCAAGGAGGATGGAGCCAGACTCTGTTCAGTAGTGTCTGGTGACAGGACACAGGACATTGGACACTGCTGGACCCTACCCACGGTTAGTCTGCTCCTCACATTCCATTTTCAGCTCTGGTCAGGGTAAATGCAACAGCTGAAGGATCACACCCTTCCTCTCAGTCCTCATCCTCAGTCCTCTGGTCAAGATACAGAATTAGCAGCTTCACTGGAAGCCCTTGTGATGCTGTGCACTAATTTTGTCTGAGTTCAAGACGAGGAGGATCCAGCCCCTCCTCAGTCCCCTTCTCCAGCCTGAGAGCACTTTTATGCTTTTTCCCTCTCCAGGAAACCTGTAACAGCTCCTTTCTGTAGACAGTCTAACACTTTAAGCTATTACTCTGAAGTATCACCACGGTTTCCAATAAAATTTTATTTGACATTTAGTTAAAATCCATTTTTTGTGACAACGTATTTTTTTCCCAAGTCCCTTGATGGGCACTTACAGCAGAATTCATTGTCATTGGCTTAAAGGTCAAAAGTGGGGTGGGTTTTTTTTCAGATCTTTCTTCGTAAAGCAAACTGTTATTCAGGATTATGAGACACTGCAGTAAGGTCTGACAGTCCATGAGACTGCTCTTCCCTGCAGTTACCTGGGTTTCATAAGGGTCGTGTGAGCAAACAGGAAGATCTGCACAGCCAGAGAAATCTTCACAACCAGAGAGATCTTCACAACCAGAGAGATGTGCACAGCCAGACAGATCTTCACAACCAGAGAGATTTTCACAACCAGACAGATCTTCACAACCAGAGAGATCTTCACAACCAGACAGATCTTCACAACCAGACAGATCTGCACAGCCAGAAGGATCTGCACAGCCAAAGAGATCTGCACAGCCAGAGATTCTGCTCAGCCAAGAAGTCTGCACAGCCAGAAGGATCTGCACAGCCAGAAAAACCTTTGCTGCAAAAATCAGTGCAGAGCCCTGCAGAAGAGCCAGCCCAAGACCAGGTGGCTCTGCCAGTCTCTCACTGCAGTGCTAGCTAAAAGCTTTCCCTTCATGTGTAATGAAGAATAAATGGAAATATTAAATAGAAAATATGCTTTTATATGCCATTTTGTTTGCAGGTTTTCATACATTTAATTTGTTCCATTAAAGCATTTTAATAAACTGTGCTATATCATGGAGTAATGGTTCAGTGGCAGTTACATTAAATCCAATCTATTGCATGATGTATTCATGTTTTAAACTTCCACTCCTGCTTCTAGAGAGCGCTTGTTTTCTTGATGATTTCCTTGTTTTGGTTTTAATTGGAGTTGTTTGATGAAGGTCTGCAGCCCATTAAAATGAGCTTAAAAATCTCCTCACACACAGGGTGCTTTTATTTCTACATCCCCGTGTTACACTAACATTGGAGCTTTCCCTGAGCTCAGCTGGGCACACACTCCTCAAGGCACAGGGAAGTGATGTTGTCACACTCCTGAGAGCTGGAAGCTCCAAGGCTGCTCCCGGTGGGAGGCTGGAGGAGCTCCAGGAGCAGGATGGTGCTGCTTACCAGAGGGAGAGATGTGTCTCCAGGAGATGGAGGGCTCAGGCTTCCCCGTGGCCAGGCACACCAGGGTCACGTTGCTCCCTTCGTTCACCACGATGTCACTCGAGATACGAAATATCTTGGGAGAAACTGGAATGAGAGAAGGAGAAGGTTGTGAGGGGAAGCTGGGGAGTGGGTGCAGTCCTGCAGTGAGGCTGGTGAGGAGAGCTGGGGTACCCCCTGCCAGCAGGGAGCAAACACAGGTGGTTGTTGCACCACAACTGTGCCAAAGCCTCCTTCAGGTGCAACCACAGCCTTTGCTGTCAGCTTTGCACAAGTTCAGCCGTGGACTCGAAATGCTACAAATAAGAAAGCAGCAAGTGCCCCGATTTTGTGAACAGCAGGAAGTTATCAAGTTCCCAGGAAACTGCTACTGATGGATACTGATGTCTTAAGAGAAGGGGGAGCTTCCACATGCCTGTTTGAAAAGAAGATTAATTTTTTTTTCCCTTGAACTTTTTAACATAATGGTGCCCATTACATCCACTCTGTGTGGCTTCAGAGAGTCCATCTCCCCGTGGAGAAGACCAAACTACATTTGTTTCTGGAGCTGGGATTTCTTTTAGGCCTGCACTATGGTGCACTCTCCTCCTTTTCAAGTGGCCACAAAAAGCAGCATTTCCCCCCTCATGCTCAGGCTCCCAGCCCTGGATTTCCTCCTGCAGCTCCAGCTCCTTCCCTCTCCCCCTCCTTTTAGGACAGCCTGTGGCTGCCAGTCCTGTCCTCATGGAAGGCTTTGCTGCCACGTTCAAACCCCAGATCTATGGTGTGTTGTCAAATGCTTTAATTTTGATGAAAGTGGATGTTCTAATGGCAAACAGTCTGAAAACATCCTGCAGTGGAGCTGTGGTGACAGAGCACACAATTCAGGACGACCGAAATTCAACTGTATTAGCAGATTTGTGGGATTTGTGGCCAGAGGGGCTCCATGGATAATCTAGTCTGAAGTCACAGGCTCTGCAAGTTTTCCCAGCAGCCATAAAGTGTGTGCTTTAGAAAGCTGTCTAGTCTTATCCTGGCAATTCCAGGTGATGCTTGCACTGCCCTGCCTGGCGAGCACTCGCAGCGATTAATATCCCCTCGCTGCCAGGAAACAGCATCTTTGTTCAAAATTACATTCCACTGAGTTCAGCTTTCAGAAATCAGATCTTCTTATGTTTTTGTCTGCAAGCCCCAACACCCCCCCTTGCTATCCATTACCTTTTCTATGACTGAGAGCCCTACAATGTGATAACATGACTCTCCATCATTCTCTGCAGAATATTTGAGCACCACAAGCTTAATTTCTGTAAGGCTTCCTAAATAATGTTTGTTCCTCTCCTTGGAGCAATAGCAGAACCATCCTGAAATGTGAGCAGTGGAACCAGGCATCATCACCTGGCAAAGGCTGTAAACTTGCTGGTTTATCTCAGCTTTATTGCCTCTTGCCCCGTGCAGTTCTCACCCCCCAGGACTGTTCCCCCTGTTCCCCCTGCAGCTCCTGCCGTGCCCACTGCAGAGGGACAGGAGGGGCAGGGGGCACTGCCTGGGTGAGGATGGCTCTGCTGAACGGGTCTCCCACACAGTTAAAAGCACGTGGAATCTCAGGAATCACAGAATCACCTGCTCCATCCCTCCCAGGTGCTGCAGGGATCTCTCCTGTGCTCGTACAGCCCTGGGTGAGCCCTCCTGTCCTGGCTGCCCAACAGAGAGTGACTCTTCTGGTGAGAGGGCAGGGTTGTACAGCCTCTTCTCCAGAATCCCCAGTGCCATTAAGTCTTTCATCCAAATGCTGGGCTGCCCTCCCCACCTCGCTCTGCAATGATAATCTGGTTCTTTCTCCTAATTATGATTTCATAATTAAGCAATAAACACAGCAGGGGGAGGAGAGAAGATGCTGCTTTCAGCAGCTGAACTGACCCTTTCTTTTGAACTGGAAATAATGTGCAGACCAACCCATCTGTGCAGTCACTTCTGCATTTCTCCCTGTGCACCAGACACAGAGATGTCTCCAAGCTGGACACATCTCAGGCTGTGAAACCCTCCCCCAGGAGCACCTGGGCCCTGCATAGGCTGTTCCTGCAGCCATTGGCACAGACAGGACACAGCAGCTCTCAGCTTGCCCTGCACACAGGAGGAACTGGCTCCTGCAAATAACAAATCTTGCTCCTTCCCAGAAATCCCAGATTCTGGCACACTTGGGCTGTTGCACATGGACAAGGGGGTGTCTTCTAGGGATGGTTGTAGGGGAGTGGTGAGATGCCCCCCATACAGGTTGTTGCTGTAGGCACAAGATGAGACTGGCCAGGTCTCCTTGGGCAGCTGTGATATTCCTGTCCCCATTTCCATCTGCCCCTTCCCTAACTTTTAAACCGATGATTAAAACTGGAAGAGGGGAGATTTAGGTGAGACATGAGGAGGAAATTCTTCACTCTGAGGCTGGTGAGACCCTGGCCTGGGTTGCCCAGGGAAGCTGTGGCTGCCCCATCCCTGGCAGTGTTGAAGGGCAGGTTGGATGGGGCTTGGAGCAGCCTGGGCTGGTGGGAGGTGTCCCTGCCCATGCAGGGGTGGGACTGGATGAGCTTTGAGGTCCCTTCCAAGCCAAACCATTCTATGATTCTATGATCTTCTAATTGGCTAGGCTCTTCTTTAAGTTTTATATCAGGGAAGTGAAATAAACTCCAGCAGAAGACGTCTGCAAGGCTGATTACAATGACAAATGCATCACTGATGCATTTCCAAAACAGAATTAGAAAATCAGTGAATACAAGGCAGAGGCTGACTGAGGTAACACGCAAGTAAACACAGTGAAGTGCAGTCCTGCTGCACAGCACAAGTCTGTAAATCACAGAATCACAGAATCACGGATCTGAGGGGCTGGAAGGGACCTGGAAAGCTCCCCCAGCCCAACCCCCCTGCCAGGCAGAGCACATCACACTGAAGGTGCCCAGGGGGGTTTGAATGTCTCCAGGGATGCAGACCCCACAGCCTCTCTGGGCAGCCTGGCCCGGGGCTCTGTCACTGCACAGAGTAAAATTGCAGAAATGGTACAATGTGATCTAGTACTCATGAAAAATTGTAGATTCTATGTTTAGAAAATATTTCATAGGAAGACCTTCTTTCCCATGATAGAAAGTTGCTTCTAGAGTATTTCTGGAAGCTCACAGGTTGAGACAAGGAATGATTTCTGGGATATCTGTAGGCTGCTAATTTTTCTGCTATTTACTGACTGATAGGGATCATTATATTCAAATCATTAACATCTCTGGAATTTATTCATTATGACTAGAATACATATGCGTAATCACAACGGAAAGTTATTATTGAATAAGAATTAAAAATGTTTATTTTGCATACTAATGGTTCTTATGATATCTCTACAGACTCTGATCTATGAGAGGATTTAGCTTTTAATATCTGCTGTGCTGAGCTTGGAGTGCAGATTAAATCCATGGCAGAGCTGTTCTCCATTTCAAGAGCAACAGCCTTTCACCCATCCCACTTGGAAACCCTTGAAGGTCAGGGAAAAAAAAAAAATACAGCAGTGACTAAACATTGATGCAGGATATGGATTAAAGGGATGCAGAGGAAACATTGCTAAACATGCTGGGAAAAGATTTATATTTCAGTGAAGCTGTGTTTTGTGTCCAGCAAGCAGCTTGTTGCCCTGCTTGCTTAAATTTTGATTAATTGGGAGAAAAATACGGAGCAGAAAGAGGAACATGGGGGAGCAAGTGATAACTTAACCTGCCAGGTAGTTGTGCAGGCAATGTGACGTCCCCTGTGTTCCAGCAGGATCCTGGTGTGCAAATCCAACTTTACATAGTGTTCTATCTCCACTAGCCCCATCCCTCCCGTGCCTGGCCCAGGGCATTCCCTGCCAGGTTGCTGGGAAGGACCAGGAAAATATCAGCCTTTTCCATTATTTCCTTTCTCCACCACTTTGTTGAGAACAGTTCTCGTATTCTGCTTTAACAAGCAACGTGTCAACATTAGAGGAGAGAAAAAACCCAGGGAATGTGCTTTAAAAAGTCCCTGACCTGTTTGGTTTGCACAGAAGTATTTGCCAGAGCTTCCACCCACGGCAGCATCGAAGCAGTGCACCCCCCTGGCTGGCAGTGCCACCAACAGAGTGTGGCACGAGGGACATGGCGACGTGTTCCTTTCCCCCTGGGCTGCTTATAACAGAGAGAAATCAATGTGGTTTCTGTTTCCCAAAGCCATTAGAACATGAGGATGGAGCTCAGAGGAGCCCTGCTGGAGAGCAGCTGGAGAGCCCAGCGCCCAAGAACCACCATGACATTAACCATAACAATCATCACTTCATTCCACCCTGGTGTCACTGAAGCACAGCTCCTTGGAGCCCACCCACCCACCAGCTCCAAACCAGCTTGTGGGCAATGACAGCCCACCCTCCAAACCTCACAGCCTCCAAGGCAAGTGAGATGGAGGCACTTGGCATCTGCCACCAGGAAGGACCCCGCAGTGACCTTCACAAAACCAGAACTGCAGAGACCTGCCCAGGGTGGGTTTTGGCACCCAAAGGGTTCTTTGCTCTTGCCCCCACCCCGCTGCCCTGACGCTGCTCTGAGCCACCCAGCCCTCGCTGTGGGTCATCAGGGGATGGTTCCTGATGTACAAACCAGCTGGTGAAGCCCTGGGGACTCCTCGGGGGTAACAAAACTGGCTTTTCAGTGTGATTTGTTACTGTGAGTATTCAGGAAACACCAGCTGAGCTGCACTCACAGCCAACGTCTAAAAAAGAGCTCAGAAGAGCAGGGGAACATCATCTTCTTGGGCTCCCTGTGCTTTTATTTCCTGATTGGATGGTCCTCTCTGGCATTTGGGACCCTCTGATCCCAGCAACCTGAGGAATCCCATAAGGCTCTGAAGCCCCCACCCCCTCCTGCCCCCCAGCAGCGTGGGACCAGGGCAGAGCATCCTCAGCAGCAGGTGGTGGGGACACCACGCTCCTCCTCCCACCAGCACACACCACCCCTTGGGGAGGGCTCTGGCACCATCTCCAGATCTTCCTAGAGCCCACCTTTGCATATACCATTTCCCTCAACCCCCAATACGTAGATAGATTTTGTAATATTTTCTGTACTTCT